ACACATTAGATTTTGCATTTTGATAGTACACTTCACTGTTCAATGAAAATGTTTACATCTGGTCAAGCTAACCCCCGATGAGTTTATTTATTTTTCCAGTAAAAAATGCTTTGAGCAAGCAAATACAATCTCATAAGATGTGATGAGGGCGGTTGCTCCTACTGTACATTGTGAACATGAAGGAGGTTGCAACTACCACATGTTGTGTACATGTACATTGTACCTGTGCCTGTAGTGCAAAAAAGATTAATGAACTTCACAAACTGCGCTCTTGGCTCACAGATAAAGCCCTAAACAAGTTTTTCACTAAGAGCTCTGTCTCTGCTTGAGTACATTCCTTTTGACAACCCCCCCAAAAAACCAATAGACTGGCACCAAGAAAGATGAAACTTGAACCTGTTAATTCAACCTCAAATTGCATAGAGAGGGATTTCAAACACACCTCCATCGCACATTGTTTCATTGCTGAACTTCAATGAGTTTCATTGGTCAATGTCTTGCACATGTATGTCCTTACACCAGGTTATCAAATTCTGAACTACCGGTATCATTAGCACAAAATTAATGTCAACTGCACTGTGTGATGCAAAGAACATGTACATGTATTAAGAGTTTCATTACCATGGCAACATTGTATGGCCACAATCGTGAGCATATTTATGTATTCATGTAGCCTTGAGCATGGTACTTCTTGTGTCCTGTGTTAGTAAATTTTATGGGAAACTACACATAAATTGATTGCTCAGTTTGTAAACTTTGAAAACAACATTCTTTCACTTGTGAAAAGTACAGGGTACTGTTCATTAGAAGCAGTGTACCAATGACAGCCCTTGTAAAAACATGAAAGAATTCATTAATTGACTATGAACGCTACTCTATCAAACACCTTATTCAAATGGACTACAGTAAGCCTTTTGTGAGTTAAATTTGAACAAAATCTGGTACACTGAGTTCTTTAAATTACACGAACACAGCCATTTGAATTCTCCATACTTTGAACACAGTCGCTATTCCTCATGATTGGGACAAGCTTTTGCTTAATGTACATAAAAGACACCTTGCAAAAGCTTCCCCTGAATTATGGGGTACATGTACATGTATAGCAACAATTTCATTTACATGTAGTTTGCATGGGAAATTAAAATTGTTACGTTTATGGACAATCAGATAACTCAGTGTGCCTGATTTTATTCAAATTGAACTAGCAAAAGGTTTACTGAAACAATGTACATGTACATGTACTTGTATTGGTACATGTACACGTACATGTATTAAATAAACATCCTTTCTCCCAGAATGCTTGCAGTTCCAGAAGAGGGGGTTGACTCCTTCCTCTCTGTTATCATAGGGCAAAACACACCTGGCAATTTCAAGGCTCAAGCACACATATAGCCAGACATGAGCAGAGCTGTGGCACATGTCAAGGTGCGGAAGGTGAGAGTGTAATGAATAGATATAGACTGGGTATACAGGCTGTTGAATAATCTAGTGCTTAAGTGGATGTCATGTGAAATTCAGGACAGTTCTGTGGTTCTTGCTGCAGTAAACAATGGGGGCAGTGCTGCTTAGGGAGCTGTCAGGTTTTTTAAACACAAATGTGACTAGCTCTAGAAAAATGGGTAATAAGTCGCTGGATTCAGGTTATGCGTTTTTGATACGGCTGGATTTTGTACATCACAAGCTACAATTTGATGAATGACCCCTGTAGTGCGCTGCGTTCCGGAGATACATGTATACTGTACATGTATAGACATTTGTATATCCACATTTTCGTATTCAATAAAAGCACCTTTCGAGAAAAAGCTCATAAAGTGTAGCACTTGGAACCACAATGCTATATAGGATTTCTTTTTGAATGACCAATTTTTCATCTTTATTCATCAGTATCAATGTTTGCAGTCACAAATTCTGAAAATATATATTATAGAAGCTATTAAAGGAAAAAACACAAAACCACATTTCTGATGAAATTTTGCCTCTTCAATTTACAGAACAAGCTATTACGTGGCATGGCGTGACTTAATACCGTTTTTTGCAGAGCAGGTCACAAATACTTGGATTCACCAGTATCCCACTTCAACACATGATTCTATGTACATGTAATTACCACAATTTTAACTGCACTGTGTGCTCACTCAGGAGTTTCAGGTTACATTTCCAACAACCTACTGTATCAATATAAAGTCAGCAAGGTTATGAGATGCAGTTGTGGTTCCCTATGAAGCAGACTCTCAAAAGTTCCAAGCTATCAAAACACACTGTCCCAACCTACATATATGTGGATTAATTGGTATGCATACAGGTACATGTACATGTACCATACGTACCTAGTCAGCCATGCGAAGCGTGCTCCGCTATGTTTCCATGCATACATGAACACACAAACACTGATCATGGCACACAGCAGAAATGTTACAAAATTCTGACTTGAGATCCCCATGTATGATTTTGATTCGGTGGACTGAAAGATTGATATTGGGTTGTGCATACATGTTCAATGGGAGTACCTAGACTTGTTGAGCCTATAAATACATACATGTACATGTATACACCTGATCCGAGTGTTGATTCTTAGGACGATGGATTGAATAACCCACTCAATCAATACCAGTGAATTCATGATTACATGCAATTTCCATTTATATACGGTACATGTACACGTACATTAATGCAATCAATACTTGCTGGATGCTTTAAATAAGCCAAAAAAAGCAAGAGTGAAATTTCATTAGCAGACTGGACTTTGGTCTAATCTTGGTCTGATACATCATAGCCCATCTGACTACCATTGTGGAGCACTGTGCACATCTCTTTAAAATAAGACCTGCAGCAAAGCTCTCTAGATAACGTACGTTAACTGCTCCTGATGAAGTCAACACATTTGGAATACAACAAAGTACCGATCTGACATGAAGAAAATAGATACATACACATACAAGTGCATGTACATGTACAGTACAAACTACACATGTCTGGTATACAACCTACGTGTACATGTATGTACATGTATCTCCTCACGACTATACATGTGTCTATAGCAAGTAATCGAAGCTCATAGTAAAAAATTGCAATTTACATTTACCATTTGTGTAAGAGTTTATAAGAAATACCAGTACGTGCCCAGATGCATGGGTTTGTAACAAAAAAACTGTTCCCATTCACTGCACACATGGTCTACAACAGCAAGGCAATGAATAATGCTTTAAGTGCCACTGTGAGATTTACTTAAAAACAATTCATGTTTAAACCGAAATGCAGGGAAAATGGTTCAGTCTAATCAGTGAAATTGGCTATTCAAACCAAGTACTGACCATGACTTCAACTACAAGTTATGCTTCATCAGTCTTTAAAGACAAAGAAGCGGGGTAGCTCTCATCATTATTACACGCACAATAGGGAGATTGACTACTCAAGATGAATTGGATTTAGGAAGATTGACTACTCAAGATGAATTGGATTTAGGAAGATTGACTACTCAAGATGATTTGGAATAGGGAGATTGACTACTTAAGATGATTTGGAATAGGGAGATTGACTACTCAAAATGAATTGGATTTAAGAAGATTGACTACTCAAGATGATTTGGAATAGGGAGATTGGCTACTCAGGATGATTTGGAATAGGGAGATTGACTACTCAAGATGACTTGGAATAGGGAGAAGTTGAAAACTCAAGATGAATTGGAATAGGGAGATTGACTAATCAAGATGAACTGACATAGGGAGATTGACTACTCAAGATGAATTGAATTTAGGAAGATTGACTACTCAAGATGATTTGTAAGAGGAAGATTGACTACTCAAGATGAATTGGAAGAGGAAGATTGACTACTCAAGATGAATTGGAATAGGGAGATTGACTACTCAAGATGAATTTGAAGAGGGAGATTGATTACTCAAGATGATTTGGAATAGGGAGATTGACTGCTCAAGATGATGCTTGCTGGGACCGATCAACTTTCTTGCCAGAACTATGCATTCTGGTCTAGAAAGTCAAGTTTTTCCTATGATGTCACATTTTTGCTAAGATTTGTCTGCTGCCCTCATTGACCGATTTCGATAAATTTGTGTGAAGAGCCCAGCCAGAGACTGAAAAGAGCACACAGAAAACACCAAGTTTTCCTGATTTAACGACATACATTGTAAAAGAGGGGTTAATCCAACTTACTGCTTATGAGACAGTTGAAAACTATCATATAACATCAATTTAGCCCTACATGGCCCATCCCCTTTAAAGACAAGGAATTGTTACATGTACTTTCCAACCTCAGGACACTTGCAACTGCAGTTTATTTCCGAGAAAAGTGTGCTGAAATATCTGAAAAAGGCTGCAATACGGAGTTGATAGTGAACTTCAACTCAGTAGTTTTCCTACACTGCCGACAGTGTTGACTGCTGCACTTGCCTACAAGTAGTTGTAGCACGCATGCACATGTATAATTTGCCTATTTCATGGGAAAGGTCCATTACAGGGTGGAAAGTAACAGAATATGTTTGGGTAAATCGGATACAAGTCCTTTTAAACAGCTGCAGAATCTATCATGAAAAAATCTCAAGTAATCTCAAGATTATCCAATGGTTTCAATGGGATCAATGCTCTTCAAATTCGTTTAAATTCTTGGGATTTTTTTCCTTAATTTATGGCACATTTTAGAGGGACTTACAGAGCAATTTGATATAATATTGAAAAATGGGACAAAATCACTTTGTTCACAACTTGTAAAAATGCCTCTCTCTTCTAAAAGCAATTGGATATTTTGATGATACAGGAATGTCACTTGTAAGATAGTGATCTTTTCCTACATCCTGGGATGAAACTTTTGCTTGGGGATTAAACTCAAAAAGTAAGCCATAACTAGGGGCAGTGTCACATTGAGTGCCATCACATACATGTACATGAAGTCAGTTGAAGGATTTTGAGTTAAATTCCTTGGCAAAAGACAGTCAATTTTTCATGTGGCACACACTGTATCATCTGTATGGGCTTGGTATTGATCTTACCATCCTTCCTGTAGTAGGTTATTTCCACCTGGTGCTCCTCGCCTTGGTCTAGTGCTTCCTGTACCTCTTGTATGGACTCGTGGCTGGTCCCTTCCCCATGCAGGAAGACACAGGAGCAGGGTCGTTGCATGAGCTCAGCTCGTGAGTAGCCGGAGAGCTCACAGAATCCATCATTACAGAAGATGATGGCACAACCCTCCACCTTGGCATTGGCAATGATGAAATTCCGATCTGTTGTTTGAAAAAGCAACATTTTGTTCTGTAATAACTTTACTCATAGTAAAAGAAAATACAGGTGGGGTGTTGTTCAACTTACATGTATCAACCCTAAAAGTCAGGAACAATTCCCCATATACCACTGCAACCTACATGTATTTCTTGTTTATAAATTTATTTCTTTTCTTCTGCCAACTGCCAAAACTTAGCTTTCTGAGTTGCTGCTTTACCGACATTTTGAAACCAATGTCATGAAAATACATGTACATGTCCAAGTATGTGCATGACACATATGAAAAATTCTTGCAAAATGTCTAAATTTTTCAACTAAAACCTTTGAGCATAATTTTTAATTTTTCACAGACCCTCAAAATGGAGATAGACCATGCAAGGTCCTGCACATGTACATCTTAATAGTAAAGACACAAACATGTGCTTGGGCGATCTTAACCGTTCATGTGACCAATACATGTATTTTACATGGATAAAAGGGAAGGAAATACTCAAGCTTCCAGCTGCCAGTAGCCTCTGTCGCCAAATGACAAATATTTACACACTTCGGCTATAGGTACTGCCGACCACAAAAAACACATGTAAGTAGCGGCAAAAACCTGCAGGTAGCAACAACTACTCCTACAAACAATTTGCCAGGGGAAACCCTGAATACTACTGTACATGTACATGAGGAATATCAATTATGCAATTCAAAATTCAAACCACAGACTGCATTGACAGAGGAAAAGGTATGCAAATGTCCAAGATCTGTATGCCTGCAGACAAAAAATACAATGCAGTTAGCTGTAATGGAATAGTGGATAGCGTAAATTGGTTGCATCAGTAACAAGGACCTGGTTCATACAATTTTAGTGTTTGCATATTTGTATCACTTTTTGGTACATAAATGTTCACATAATGTATAACTTTGTGCCCACTTATATTCCAACAGGAAGTGTATACCTTGTATATGTGAATACATGTATGAAATATAAACTGTAATCAATTGAAATGCAAATAAATCCAGAGAAAATACACAAGTTTTTTTACTTTCATATAAAAATCAAAAGCATACACATACCTGTATTTTGCAATCAGTGATCACAGTAAAGTTTATTACATGTAGTGTACACCAGCATGTACATCATCTCTCAACATAATGTGACATCGTAACAACAATAACTTTTGCCATTTTTACAACGAACAAATCAAACTCGTAAAACAAAACCAAAAACAAACAATTAAAGTTAACAAAAATTTCTTTTATAGACTCATTGGAAGAAATTTCCATAGGAGCAACAGTGACGGCACATTCAAAAACTTGAAATGTACAATGTACATGTACAGTAGTTTGGGAAGTCACATGTACATGTGTGTTTGTCAACCTGTTGGATAAAAGGGACATCTGATGCACATACGTACAGTACATGAACATGTATGACTTGAACACAAACGTGGTACCAGCTTAGTAATGATTTCTATTTCTGGGAATTGGATTTGTCTACAGAATAACCTCATAATAAAGTCCTGTCTATTATGCCATCGCCCTGCATGATACTAGTAGGCTTACCAAATGCACAAATGTGGTACCTTTTTTACCCTAACTGTCCAGTGTCCTCCAACTGTTACAAGTTTGGGTCTGTTAGAGCCAACGTACCCAAAACCATTTTCACAGGTCCTATACCACAAGAACAGTGTTTGCGGATAATACAATTTGATACAAAGAGCTATTAGCAGCTAAACAGGTACCCAGTCCCCACATCCAATATGTTATACCCCTTGGATACCAAACTGAGTGAGTCATAGGATAATTAACCACAAGGCCAAGCTTGATAAATCAAACTACCAGGCTGAAATTAATACGCATCTGCTAATCAGAGCCACATTATGATTCCATCCCACAAAAATAGCCTGTAGGATGCTCATGTTGAGATGATCTGGTAAATTATAAGCAGGACAAAAGTACATGTACATGCAGCATTGCAGGCCAATTATGAGATAGTCGTGCTGAGTCAAGCAGATGATTCAGTGTATCAATTTCATGTATTACTGAGGATCACATAGGATTATTTTTTGAAAAGTCTCTGAACACACGAACCAACAGTCTAGGGTAACCTTCAATGTATACATGTACATGTGCATGTACAGTACAATACATGTACTTGCAACCTTTCGGATACATGCACATGTACAGGTATCTCTTGATGCTCGAGCCTTCAGTTGTAATGTGATAGTACTCTAAAACCACGAGGGCAGCTGAGGGTACAAGTACACTTGGACCCTTGGATAGAAAAAGAAGGATCCTACATTGCACGTTACATGGATGGGAAATTCTATGCACATCAATGAGATTCAACAGTTCATGTAGTTCAAAGTACGTGCAAGTTCCTGACAGATTTAACAATCAGGTACAGTTTATTTACCCTTTAGCCAACAAAATTCTTCAAAATCTCCCCAATGTAAAGTGGTTCAGAATATGTGCCCTATTTTGCAGGTTCAGTTCTAATTTGAAAGGGATTTTCTCCTTCAAACTTTTTGCACCAGTGATACGGTCACCCAAAGTGCTGATTTACATAAATTTCAACAAGTGTAAGTTAGGCTTCTCAACCTTTTGAAGGAAAACCAAATTAATTTTAGGCTTGGGTGGCATTTCAGTACTGCCACATAAGTGGCAATTTTTCATTTCAATACTGAAGAATACTGACTATCCATAAATACCAAATACCTGCACATTTGGTATTTCAATACCCCAGTATTCTTACTAATGTGTTCAGAATCTGAACCCCTACGTACAAACTTGCATATTGGCCCGATAAACAAATCTTTTTCCCTGATCAATGCCGATACACACGAAAAATACCCAATACCCCTTTTTTCTGACCCAATATGCACGTTATTGGGCTCCCTTTTGTACAGCCAATAGTGTGAAATTGAGTTATTGCACACACAGTGATTGTTTTTGTGTAAAAAAATATGGTTCGTTGATTCTCTTTTGAAATGATGTACAAGTACCTAAAAGGATTTTTATCCCCAGGGACCAAACTATTTCCATTGATTTTTGCCTGAATGGATAGAGTTTGAGTTGCCTGAACTACACGTACTCATCAAAATTTCTGTGAAGAAACGTGAAGTTTTCTGGGGTTTTCATCTGTTAAAAGTGGGCATACATGTATTTTCAAGTGGTACTGTGAAGGCTTTCTGTTTCATCATAAGAAACTAGGTGTCATTTCTGGGGGAAAAAAAGTTGGATCAAAAAAACCTTAGAAAGAATGAGATTTAGATCATAAGTGTGGAAGTGCGCATTTGGCCACAGAGCGATGAAGCGCACTGTGATATTCCGAAAGGCCACTGCCAGGCCCTGTGGCACGGCGGCAAGTCAGCATTGCAGTCTGTGTGCAGTACGTACATTAGCTTAACATGTGCCACACACTGTAAACGGGTGGATGGGGACTGCCTTTTGTGATTTTCTCCATGGTTGGCACTTGTTCATGGTAGCACTAAGCACTTTTCCTAAAGAAATAACACATATTCTTCTTTGAGAAGCTGTCTGATTTTTTTCTCGTAATCCCAATTTAAAAAGGTAGGCCTACATTCAAATGCACATTTATGTGGTTTGAGAGATTTTTTTGGCAACTGAGCAGCTACCATACAAACATATATATATATGTGAACTTCAGACTTCACAATAAATATTGATGCCCTATACATAAATCTGACATGCCTGACCTTCAACTGTTGTTTTTTTAGCTTATATTTAAAATATTTGAGAAATTAGGGTACTGTATCAATGTTGCATGAGCTCAGTAATCTGTTTATTTTTTTTTAGGGGGGATCTCATACATGTACATTTACCTGCAAGTTGAGTCATGGTTGAGCAGAAAATACCTTGTGCTCACAATTTTCTCACTGTTCATTCATAATTGTGATTGACTGGGACGATAGTTACATGTACATGTGTAATTTCAAATGTGTTTCCCCTAATTCTTCACTATAAATATTTTTTAAATATATTTTTCTATAAACCTTGCATGCATAATGACATAGAACACTCCATGCACATGATCAGCAAATACTAGATATAGGCCTTACCAGTGTAATGCACATTATGCACTAAAATTGCTGAATATTCTGCTCCAACATTAACTTTGTTTTGCCTTGATTACCGCAGAAAATGCCAATGACTTGATAGACCAGATTGACAGGTCACATTTGTGAGGGAGGTACAACGTAATCGCACGTTTGTCGCAAGAAATTTGAAAAAAAAAGGACCTTTGCAACACTTGCCAATCAATAGATACAACTCAAAACTGGTTACCAAGTTGCTTACAATGTGAACATATCTGTAAACAAAAAATTGATAATAACTAATCATTGGAATATATAGCACTTACTTAGTAAGTTAGTAGTTACTTTCAGATCTGTCACTTTCCATGGGAAATTACAGGTGAAAAGTTCAGGAAATGCTCTAGACTGTACCACAGAGCATCTAAATTTCTAAATTCTTCAATGCCCTTACTCCAAACCCCACACCATAGCTTTGTAAATTGTCAGTGAACAATAACAGAAATCCCCCACAATTTTGAAAAATCCTGGGGAGAACCCTGAGAATATTTGCAGAACCCTTTTAAAATAATCAAGAAGTACCGGCAGGAGGGCATGACATTTCGATCCTCTAGAGCAAAATCTCAAAGGCAATAAATAAATACATGTAAATTAAAAATAAAGGAACATAATCACATCGCCATACTTCATTCCATTCTTGAGTCATCCAATATCTACATGTATCTGCATTGTCACTTGAAGTGGAGAGACATTTACATGTAAGATGTAATTATCCAGCTCCACTTGGTAAGATGAAACTTAACAAAAGTCTGCCAACCCATTAGCCAAGAGCCTTTGAAGTAGTCATTGTGTTTGGGGTTTTGGTGTACATGTAGCTTATGGTGTCTGAATGGAAAAAGCAGAAGAATTTACATGTAGACATTTAGAAATAGATCAGTTTCAAATTGTTTAGAATGGTAAAGATGGACACGGAGTACATGATCGCTTTATTTTTGCGGGGAAATTTAACATGAATACTATTACACTATATACATTTTATTTTAGGCCCTTTTGAAAACACTTGCTTTTGTTTTAGGCACTAGAATTTTGGCAAATTTGTTTGACCGCCTCAAACATAACAGTACCCCCGGGGAAACTCTTAACCATGTGATATGTCGCAAGCACACATTTATTGTTTATGATCAAGAGCACTAGCGATGTTGCCATGCAAACCACCCCCTCCAAAAAGACTGACAACCTTGATCTTTCCTACGGTTGATGTGTCACTTCCAAAGCATTGTAATTGTGAGTACAAGGTGGTGTAGTCACGCTGGTACAATGCTAATTCTATGTGGGCATGGTACGTGTAGGTGCGCAGTAGGGGACAGTGAGTAGCAGATTTCCGCTGCTGGTGCGGTATAGCCACCATTTTTGTTTACATTGCTCATTTGATTTCTTTAAATGGGCGAGATTGCTGTAATTTCCCCGTGATATTAATTAATGTCAGTAGATGACAGCAGGTTGCCCTCAAAGACGTTGTTGCCTTGTTCCAAAGCTGAGATCAGAATGTTTATTTCTGCTCAGAACAGCACAGAACGTATGCAAAACTGATATGTGGTGTTCCACATATCAGTCATGGCTCCACTAATTTCATCAGACATTGTGACTTTATTCACTGCTGTCCACTTCAGGAAGGCAGCCCCCCCCCAGTTCATTATCTAGAACCAAAATACATGTACTGCCTTTTAAACCTCAACACACACTTTCCAGAACACTACAAATCATTTTGATTTCACCAACGAAATCAACAGTTTCGGTAACCGAATTAACAAATAAGGCAATAGGCCTCGATCGGGCCTAATTACAAAAAATATATGTTGCATTTATTGCAACATGACCAGCCGCATTGGTTTATACTCACTTTGTCCGTCGAACTTGCGAATGATTGTATCAATGAACGTGTTCTGAGGGGCCACATGGCCCCTGCGGACGGGCATTTCCAGGGGTGCCTTGAGCTAGGTTAACGTACATGTAGTTTTTGCTGTCACATATTGATGGAGAAATCCGTCACCAAACAACGAATCCGATCGACTCCTTTTGGTGAGCAGACATCAACCCGCGCGTTAAAACCCGATCACTCAAGCCATGTGTTCGTATGTGTACACACATGCGTTGCCTGTCAAATTGTCAATAGGCAAGCCATATGCCGTGCGACTGCATTGCTGCATGTTGTATACCGCGCGAACGAGCGTTTGCATTTTAATAATGGCTTTTGTGAATGTTCAACACGTGCTGGGGAAGGACGCCACCTATTGACCAACTTTTATCATTTTTAAAATGCAAGAGGGTTTGGTTGTCACTCAAGTTGTTACTAATCTGTCACTATTGTTGCACGATTCCCATATGTTGTCTGGAAACAAAACAAAACACGTAGCCGAGCAAGTCATCCCCACATTGCTCAACCCCCCGTCCTCGGCACAAATTTACGCTGAAATTTACTGAAAGAACTGGAACATTGGAAGTATAATTCAGGGTTGAATAGGGTTACAGGTCGCGCGCGTGCCATAATTTGCATCTTGGTTTCATGGCCAACTACAAGGTGTAAGAATAATCACAAAAAAACCGCGGAGGACCATACCATGCGCCTAGCCCGGCAAGAAAGTTGGTGTGTCAGATTACTGAGGAATTACACTTCACTTTTTTTCCTTGTGGTTCCTTGCCACTTGAAGGAATTAATACCAAGTACCAACAACAAGGCATCTAAAACGCAAACTGTTTCTGAGAAAGTTGGATAAACCATGGATAAACCTCGGTAAGAACGTCTCCCATGCAAAGTTGTATGAGGTTATTCCGACTAGAAAAGGACCCAGGAGGTACTCAAGTGAAGGACTGGAATGCATTGCCCTCGAAAGTAGTCAATTGCACATCCCTTGAAACATTCAAGGCCAGCATTGTTGACTATTTGACACAGTGAATATTCCCATCCACACGCTGCGCACGCTGGTGAGTAGTTGCCGGCTGGCGATTACAGATACTGAAGTCATAAAAAAACACCATGACATCGATCAGAAAGCGAACTGATAAATGGTGAATCATGTTTTAATTTGATGTGTGTGTTTCGAAAACCTCAAGTAGTACTAGTTGTGGGGATTTTCAGCGCATGTACACCTGCGACAGAAGTGAACAGCACAACCCTTGCCACTGTCACGGGTGAAAAAATGTCACCGATACGCTATCACCTCGTCTTTAGGCAGAGGGCGCTATTCAACATTAACGGACCGTGCGTTAATTGTACACACCCGACTCGAGCTGGCGTATTTGTGGTTGCCGCTCTTTGAAACCGCGACACGCGCATGCGTTCACTTTTGTGCACATATTTTGAAAACGACTTCCGTACAGGATCGACCGTATTTCGTATCAACGGCGGTGTGTCAAACCCGGTCATGATCAACCGGGTTTGAACGTTTTAGTCTAGGAGAACAAATTAATAGCCAAGATTGTCGTCAGACCGATATTTAATCACCAATTGCAATAATGTCTTCTGATTCCAAGTCGAGTCCGCTGTCAACCATAAGCTGCAATGTGGTTGATGAACGATCACCGTCCTGTATGAAGCAAAAACATGAAAAAAGTCGGACAGCGATGCCGTTTGCAGACCGCATTCCAGTTGAAGAATGGTACATCTAGGCTTCTTGTATCGATTTCCAGATCTTCAATTGCTAAACTGTGTGTGTAACGTTAGTTATGAGGCCTGCCAGCTATTCTCAAAATACACGCTGCTTTGGATGGTTTTTAATCACGTTAATGGCCTGAAAAAATATACATATAGGTTGGGCCTAATGTTAATGTTGGCTAGGTCCCTGTAAAACTCTTTTCTTTCACTTTTGGAATTCAGATAGCCTAAAAGTAAAAACAAGGCCCATTGATCGAAAGGCTGATTGATTTTTAGCCCGATTTATATCAGAGCAGTTTAATCATGTTGGTGTATTTGCAGGAGAAACGTTGGAAACATCACAAGGTGTGACTCAGACCCTGTAGAAACAAATAATGGTTACATTTTTACAAATTGAAAAAAGAAAATGAAAAAACATAAAGTACTTCAGTCATTCCAGAAATTCAAGAAGCAGTTTTACTGATGTGATGAAATTCAAATGCAAGCTCTTTTTTTGCCAAAACATTCTATTTGTATCCAATTATAATGTTTATTTTTGGTTTGCGGTTGGTGTGATATACAGCAAAGAGAATGAAGAACCAATCAATGCAAGGTCTGGTGATGAGGAAGATGACGAGGTCTTCTTTGGTGTCGTCACTGACAAGGAGAAATCTAAGATGACCAAGCTACGACGCAGGACACAGGTCTTTGTTTCCAACTTTCGCAACTTGTCGTGGGGGAGTGGAACAGACAGCTTGGATGAGAGCTGGTCTTCACGACAATCACGTGACTCAAATACATCTCTGTCCTCTCCTTCCACTGAATGTGGATCTCTAGCAAGCTACAATGCTTCCATTCTAACAGACATAGGTACTTGGACATCCACTTTGGAATTTCAGTGTCAGTCTTATATTTACAAATAGGTCATTTGGGAGACATTTTGTGGTAAAGTTTTCAGCATTAGGGAGACATTGGCTTTTAGGGAGACATTTGCTTTTAGGGAGACATTTCAGTGTCTCCCTATTTTCAAACCATCAGAAGGAGGCCGAATTTTACTGCCCATATTTTAAGAGATGATAGTTTAGGGCCTAAAATGAAAACATACAAAGTTTCGTTCAGATCAGATTAGGGAATATTGAATTATGGGACAGTAAAGTTGGAAAAATTTTGTGCACGTTCCTATGGGAATGTCTCCCTAATGACCCATTAGTGGTAATTATTATTTTGTTTATTACAGAGCAAACTCTTATGGTCTGGCCACTTTGCACTCAGGAAGTCAGCATGTGCTATTCCCCAGTACTACACTGCATGTTCCAGCCACAGAATTACATGCTTGCATATTTGGCTCGTCACCCAGCCCCTGAACTGGGCACTGGGTAGGGCTAATGGCTTTGCACTGTGATTGGCTACATTTTGCATGACCTGTGTGTATGCAGTTATCACTTCCTGTTAGCGTAACATTATTACAATTTCTTGGTTCACCAATGGTAATGCTTGTATAAATACGTGGGCAAAGTGTACATAAAAACATGGCCTTGGTACAGTCACAATGTTTTAATTAATCTTCTGACTAAATATCACTGATCACGTGTCTTCTAGCGATATATTTCAAGTCATTGGTGATCTTGATCAAGTTTGGTTGAACGAATAAAGGGCAGTGAGAATATTTTTGGAAATGAAGAAGAAAAAGACAAAAATATCAAATTCATAAGTGTAACGCATTGAGTGAGCTTGTGGGCCTGGCAGAAATTTCCTGGAACAGTGCTCTGCGTGTCGTTATCTGTGACCTCGTGTGACTTATTTCCTTCATTAAAATCTGTGCAAGGTTGTCGCGGCTCGGCCCTGGAGGGAGCCCCTCTGTGACACCGTGTGGCCGGACGGTTATGGGTGCGGTTACCTAACCGCACAATACGGTTTTCGGCTTTCTTTGCTATTTTTCTCAGTTCTGGCACACAGGGCACATACACGTAGTCTGTCGACCTAACCTACACCAACAACTACACGTGCAAGGCCATCAGCCCTTCCTAGCGCCCTGTTCGACGCTGGGTGACGAGCGAATGTGCATGTCAGATGCAAGCTAAGTCTGTGATTGGTCAGAACATAATGGGCAAGGCTTAATGGATTGAACCTCCTTAAGGTTTGGCATTAAAAACCGTGATGGATATACTTAGATAAAGAAAAGGGAAGAGAGAATGTGGACTTGCACAAGGTGTCTTCATGATCGCCTCATCGTACAGGAAAATAAAATCCCTTGGATTTTCTCTCAGCAGAAGGCGCAGACACACAGCTACATCCCAAGCCCTCTCAGCCAGCTACATGTAGGATAGCATCGTCATCCTCTTTGGACAGTCCGTCTGTCCTGGCCCATCGAGCAGCTGCCAAGATCCAGACGTGGTTCCGTCTGACACGCCAGGCTCAGGAGTATCAGGGAGCCATGAGGGAAGTACAGCGGCTGGAGGAGAAGACTGATGACTTCATCCAGGAGATCCGCAGAGAGAAGGAGAGAATTAGGCAGTGTAGCACTCCTGAACAAGGTCATAGCCACAGAGGTAAAGCCTAGCACATCTTTTACAACATTACCTGTAGTAACTACATGTACATGTAGTTCTTCGTATTTTATTTAAAAGTCTTAACCTGTTTGTGTTTGAATCAGTTTTATTACATACCTAACAGCTGCACAGTTCCCCTTTAAGGGTAAAATCTAATTCTAGTCACACAACAAGCCTTGACACATTTCAGGAAAATAACACTAATACTTGCTTGCAGGTAGGAATTACTCTGCAATATGGTGAGTGTTGGGTGTGTATGTGGTGAGTGTTGGGTGTGTAGATTGATAATTTTGATAAGCATCATATTTACAGGGCTATCACTGCTCTGCTTAGGAAGGTTGATGCAAAAATATTATAGGGTCTGTTTGAATGGTAACAAAACGATTATCAAACCATGATGTACATTTTGAGAGTTGCTGTACATTTTCAAAGAATCAGACTTGATCAAAATGGTTGGCAGAGCTGTTTCATGACCATTTTGAAATTTTGCACGAACCGCTTCAGTAAAATTAGTGATCGTCAGTTTGTTTGAAATGAATGTAATAACCATGCTGCAGCTGTGGAAAGTTTGATGAAATTGATAGCAAGAACATCGTGCAACTGTGTAACAAATAGTGTATACATAAATACATGTACTACCCATGGCAGAAGTTACATTGTTTCATTACTGCTGCTGCTGGTTTTTGTAAATGCTGCAAATTTCTCATCTCCATGCCTCCCAAAAGGATTAAAAATGGGATTCATATTAAATTGAGATTTACATGTACTTTGCTTTATTCTCTTGTCAGGTTTATCTGTCATAAAACACAAATAACGACCTTTTAAGTATTGTTGGGCCACATTTCTTTCTGCTTCAGCAAAGTGCCAATGCGGTGCTGATGTTCTTAAGGTGTTTCCATTCTGATGTATGTAGATGGACGCTTGGATACAATGCTGAGTTCGCCCATGGTAATGGTCCCTGGGCACAGACTGCATCTAACAGAGATATCGCCGCAGGAATGCGCTGATGCTACTGTGCAGCAAGCGTCGCGCAGTCCAACTCAGCTCTGTCAAGATGACACTGAAGCTGTTGATGTTGTTTTCAATGCCACTGATGATAGCAACTCAATCAGTGCTACAAAATCTGGCTATATGAATGAAGGAAGCACATGTACCATTTTCTGCCCAAGCAAAGTTGATGAAGTGTCCTTCAAGTTGAATCCCACTCGGGCTAAAAATCTGCAAACAAATCCAACATCAACTACTTCAGGTGCAAAGCGGAAAGGTTGTGGCACCCCTAAACTTCCTGTGAAACAGTCACTCCAGTACCAAGACCACGCAGTCGACGGAAGAAGTTTTTTTGGTTCTCCTAGCTTTGCCCAGTCAGGTTGTACTAGTCGAGCATCATCAGTTTGCAGTGAAGGCTCTCTTTACCGAGGAGCAAACACCAAGGTTGCATCAGCCGTGAAGAGCCAAGCATTCAATCAAGATTCATTCTCTCTCCTTGGCACACCCTCAAGGCTTGGAAACATTGGGCAAACTGCTACCAACAGCCCTGCGTGTTTTCAGGTAGGCAGATGGTTGGCCCACACCCCAGGCACCCCTTGCAGCCACTACAAGTAAACTTGACTGCAGGTATCCTGTCTTCCTTTCCAAGGGTGCCATATGAACAGATTCAGAGCCCGACAGTCTTCTCCAGCCCCAGACTGTTTCCCACTACCATCCAAGCCGTGCAGTCCCAACAGTCTGTCCCCTCATCAACGCTGTTCTCTCCTCTTAAGCTTGCAGATCACAAATTGGTCAAGGATTGTAGCCATTCAGATGCACTTACAAGTTTTGATGTCCAAGGAACAGAGCTACAAACATCTCAGAAAACAACGGAAAGAGAAAATGACAAGTCTGTGTTTGACTTTGATAGTCAACAGCTTCCAGGTCTGAATGTGGCGACAGTCAAAGAGGATTCAGACTGTAGCACTCATCATCGCATGAGTGATTTCACCACATCATCTGCACCCTCAGACGGGGTACAGATGTCTCCAAATATAGGCTTCAGGAGGTACGCTCCGAAAGTGGCTATAGTCACACCCGGCTCAGCCCCAAACATGCCGGATATATCTGCTCAAGAAGCCCAAAGCAGCAGGTCTGTGTTGGAATGCAAGAGCACGCTACCAGCTGACATGGGATCCAGGAAGCAACTCGGCACGACACAAAAGGGTACAAATAGATCTCATCATTTCTTCCCATCGCCAGCAGTCAGGGATTCACTGGGAATTCAGACACTAGCGACATCCTTGACCAGCCCCACGGCTGATGTGCAAGACTCACTGAATGCCGCCAGACCAGAAATAGCTGATGAAGGGCAGCTGTGCATTAAGACCTCACCATATGTAGGCCCTCGAAGCTGTGGGTCGGCAAGGAGCAAGCCGGAACTGCTGGAACAGAAGAAGGCAGAGCTGGCCAGACTACGAGCTGAGAAGGCCCAGCTCAAGAAGACACTCAAGACAGAAAATGAATTGGTAAGATCTGATGAACTTCATATTCGTACTTTCAAAGTGTACCCGCAGTGTATTTAGGGATACATGTAGCTTTATACTTGAAGATAGTGAATCCTTAACCCTAACCCCCAAAGGATTGCTGGCCCTAACCTTCCCCACTTTGTGCACAGAGGCTGTTGGATTTTGTTTTTCTGAGGTATGCCAAACCCAATGCAAAAGCCAGCTGTTATGGGCCTACCAGACCTATCCCCACAGAATTAAACACTTTACTGCTGTTGTATTCTGTGTGGTTGGGGAAGGCCAGGGTTAACACACTGCTTCAGAAGCAGTGAGGGCACAGCAGTAGTGTTACGCAAGTGTGGTTCAATAACACTTTCTTATTGCTTTACATAAGTGTCTATGTTTGGTGGCACTTGCTTGAAGGTAATATGGACCATTTGTCATTTGCAATTCTTTTTTTTTGTAAAGCATCAATGGTACTGAAAAGTGCATGCTTAACAACTAAGCTGATGAAGCGTGAGTCGTGTCTGTGAATGCCGAATGCTTTAAGAATACCACATTCAGGTTCAAGATTTGAATTGAAACATTACAAAGTCTTTTTGGGAATTGGACGCTCCTGTGACGCAATTTCAAAATTAGTATTTGGGTCATGATTCTCATTCAGCCGGTTTGTAATGTACATGATATCATGTACTGACCCAGTCATTCACATGTGGTTAGCTACCATGAACACGTGTCCGTGAAATCATTCCTTTACAGACTAACTCAATTACAAGAATGGCAAATTTGTAAACTGTCTGAAAATGATTTTTCCCAGAAAAAGTACAGTATACCCAAAAGGAATAATTTCACAGGGAGTTTAGTGTTCAAGTACGAGTACACGTAAGCTTTTGAACAATAATTGAGTTGATTTCTTTTTGGACAGTTGCAAAAAGCCATCACAAAT